ATTTGAAAAACAATCCTTAATTACGTGATAGATAATATGCTCTTAGGCTCTAACTTAAACCGAATCTTCTTTATGAGAGCCATTCTGCATAAATCTAAACCGCGACTTACGGTTACAATCCAAATATCTAAATTTAGTTTTATGCAAGTAATCTTCAGGTCTTATCTATAGTCACACAACTGATCATGCTTGCTGCCACAGGCCAGGAAAACATAAGGGAAAATGAAATTTCTCAATTTTAGGGAAAGGTCAGGGAATTTCACTTTGGGTCAGTGAAAATTTGCATGTTTGTCAGAAATCAGAGAAAAGTTAAATTTTATGTAAATATAAAATTGTTTATCTTGTCTTGTCCTGCGCTTTTCATGATAAAAGATAGTGACACTTTCATTTTTGTGATGTCGATGGTGCTCATGTACATTGTTTAGTACAGTTGACAATTCCATGACCAGCCATCCTTTCCCCTTGTTATGAAAGTTCAAGTCGGTTTGTGCTTGAAATCATTTTTTTCTTTTGTTCTTCCATTTTCGAATCTTTGAAATTCTTTTGTATACTTCACAAACGTGAAAGGGAGAATTAGCAGAATTTTGTTTAATGAGGAAGTCAGCGAAATCCTTTGTCATAAATACTTTCCGATCTACGCAGCAATGATCACTAATAGCGGAGCTCGCAGAGCGTAGCCCCATAATTATACAAAATGGTAGTAGTAACCCATCAAGCCGAAAAAATTTGGACATATGACCGCAGGACCGTACGATCGTACGACCGACCGTACAAGGTGCTACTTTTAACATGCGTGGTCAACTGTACCGCGGGCACGCCAACGCCACGGCTTTGTCCAGTAGTCCAGTGGTCAGTGCACTGGGCTCCGAGTTGGACGACCCGGGTTCTAGTCCTGGCCGGGGCAAGGCGTTGTGCCCTTGAGATGTGCGGAAAAAAAATATGCGAGCTCCGCTCTTAGGCTTAGCTAAATCTATATATTATTATTCCTTTACAAATGCAACTGACGGATAAAACGAGCTCATTTCTAAAGCTTATATAAAAAGTATTCAGTCGAGATTACTGTCCATCAATTATTTATTATTCTCCCGTTTCCCGCCCTTCTCATTAGGCTTTACTTGAAGTGATGACAAGAAGTCAGATTACCTATATACAATTATTCATTTATATTAAACTGAAGGTGTTTATTTCAAAGGATGAGTCTTAACTGCTCACATACTTCCCCAGGAAGTATTTCACCATCATGGCCAGTTGTATTTTCTAAAATCATTCATAACAATAACATAATTGTTTTCAGGGTCTCACAACTTACAGTCGCTTTATAGAAAAAATTGCGGTCAAAATAGTTTATTTATCGACTATACAAAACAAACGAATCAATACAAAACCAAGTGAAACGAAGCGAACCTAACAAGGTGATAGCGGTAAAAAGACGATTGACTGAAACATGCCGTAGAACTTTATCTGAACTAACGAAAATAATTCACTGGGCTGAAATATACAAAATGCAAAATAAAACTTAATTTGTAATATAAAAGAAGTACGTAATATAAGCCTTATTAACAGAGCTACAAGAACGCGAAAACTAAATTCAGCAACAAGCGAAAAGCACGAGCAAAGACAATTGAGTAATCCTAGCCTACAAAAAACAAAATCCCCGACGAGATACAAGTGGTAAGGTTAGATGAGATGAAAAATAAATTAGATAGAATCTGTTCCCCAGTCTCGATGAAATGATTCTAGATTTATATATAATCTAGAGAGGGAAATAGAAACTCTGTCTTAAATCGATATTTTTTATGGAAATAACTGTCTGCTTATTTTAAGTTAAATGAGTGATTTATTTTCAGGTATCAAGTGCAGCTTCACCACTGAGAACTATGCAATCGACATCGTTTCACTTAACATAAGATGTCTTTTTTAAACTCTCAGGAAAATTTGTGAGGACAAAAATGATGAAAATTCGCCTGTGTACTCTCAAATGCCTTGTTATCTTACTTGGGGTTGCAAGTCTGATGATAATTGCAGGAAGGAATTTGTATCAAGAATCATTTGTAACGGAAGACAGCAATATTTTCAAGGAGACGCAGGTTGCAAAGCAATTTTTCAATCCCCTAGGTATGTTATTATTTGATGATTCAAATAATTTTTGGCTTCTCCTGGATTTTTTCGGAATAGAAAGAAATTTGAGTCCGAAAATTTGATAAAATGACGTAATGATCCTCGCGTTCAGCGACGTATGGTGATTGCAACACCCGTGTCACATATTCTCATAGGGTAACACCCAATATTTCTCAATTGAGAATGTGGGTAGTACTCAAGTGAAATGATCATCTGAGCCGTCTGGTGCGGTACTAGAAGACCGAGTAGTTTCGCTATTTGCTTTGATCGTCATTTTAAAGTTTACCCCGTTGTTTAATTTCATGAGTTATGAAGAAGTTCAAACCTGTTTCTGTGAAAACAATTGTCCTCTGAAGAACTGGGAAGACCGTTATTCATACTCCGTTAACGTTCAGCTCAAACACAGCTGGTTCTCAGCCGAACCAAGGAAGCTCTTCGCTCCTTGAAGCTGTCGATGACCCCGACATTCCCGTATTTTCACCTGATGAGGCTCAACATTCTGAAGCTCATCGAAGAAACTGCAGCTCCATAGCTAACTGGGAAAAAATACCCACAGCTGTATTTAATGCTAAATCCTATTTAAGAATATAGCATTAAGCCACAATTGACTGCACATGTACATGTAGTAAGTATGGATAAAACAGGAGTGAAATGAAAAATAATGACAATATCGGTTTTGTAAGAAAATGACTGAGTACATGTAAATCAAATATATTTTCCTTCTAATACAAGTACCTGTGTTAAAGAATTCAGCACAAAATAAATTGTAAGAATTTGGTCCTTTGACACCTTTGATTCTTTTTAATGTGACATCTGCAGAAGAAGATGATTCTTGTGGCCTTTTTTTTTTCTGATTCCCAATCCACTTCTGCAAAAATCATTCAGTGTAATTGTTATATTACTCATTATGTTAAAATTAGTATTAATAAACCACTGATGACAACTGAATAAACATGCATAAACTATTTTATATTCATTTTGATCAAAGACCATAAGTGTTATTATGTGGAAAAGGAGAGGAGAGGAGGAGAAAGAGGAGGTTTGCATCAAAACTATTGAGAAATACTACAATAATGCCTGACCATTAGTTACAGTATGGTTGAATAATAAAAATAATGACAATACAACTGAACTATCTTAAATTTGTACAGTTGAAGTCCTCATCTCTGCATATGATCTTCTTATGTTTATAATGTTTTTAATTAAAAACCTTACATTTCGGAATTTAATGGATTACCTTGAAAGGTAAATACACACGTATGATGAACGTGAATGATCTTTAGCCTGAGTAAAGCAGAGTTAACCGTCTGTAACTGTACCTGATCACGATCTAAAACAACATCTAATAAACTTTAACCGTTAGGCTATTATTGACGTATAAACGCATCTACGATCTATACAAATTGCTAGTTTTGCTTGATTCGTGGAATTATTGAGATAAAATGAGGCACAACCTGGTATAAAGCTACAGCTGAGGTTAACAAAATGATTAAGCTTACCTCGACTTGTGCCTTCGTCAAACCAGTGTCCGTTGACGCTTTTAAAACCATCTCCTTGTACATGGTTCCCGTTCCAACCATCCCTTCTTCGAAAAATCGCTCTAAAATACCTCTCTGTCATCTGAGATATGAGTGCGTTTCGCCATTGTATTTCCTCACGAAGAACAACTACTATCTTGCTGGAAGCTTACTAGAAGGCACGTTGTGGAATTTGTTACTCGCGGGCGAACGCGGATTATTCCATAAAGCGACTTCATTGGCTGTTCTAGACAATGCTTCAAATCAGCGGCATCAGACGGCTCAGACAACCCAGACGATCATTTTACTCGGGTACTACCCACATTCTCAATTGAGAAATACCGAGTGTTACCCTATGAGAAAATGTGACATGGGTGATTGCAAATACCAAACTCTCTGGCTGGGGAAATTTCGTCATCGAGTCTGCCTTTTTTTTAAATTGGCTTTCACATGTTTCCAATGAAAGACCCATGCCCTTAATTTTTAATTAGGTAAATTAATCCTTTACCGATCGTAAATTGAGTGCAATCTTGCACCGCCGTAAGCTTCTCTTCTGTATCTCATTCCTGATTTTCAATGCTAGGGACGTCTTGTAAGCCAGAGCCTCTACTTGACAGCATAGCAAGGCTAAACGGAATGTTTGATGATCTCAAGACATTCGTGATGTTTATTGGATACTCACAGACTATAGAGAGTCGTACTGGCGCCATATTGGATGCGCATCCTCAGATTATCCTTCCGCAAGAGTACGATGTCTTAGGGAACTGGAAAATGTATCAAAACAAGAAGCTCAGGGAACGCGGCAAGCAAAAGTATATGCTGTTTTTCTTCTTGCATTATCTTTCCACTTTTCAAGCTATTTTTCGAAACCAAGCTTATAAACCAAGCCAGTTCTGGGTATGGACATCCAAAGTCGAGAGTGGTCGGTATTACCCACTTTCTGATACATGGCAGGGGATAACAAATGGCAAGATTAAGGTAAGCTTAAGAACAAACTAAAAAATGAATGTTAGACATCAATCAAGCAAATTACAAGTAAATTTTCTGAGACAAAATCAATGTTCTTTTATTTTTAAACCCATTAACCTTTTCTGCATATATTTGACACAGAAAGACAAACAGAAAATTTCCGATTTTGACTATTAGGTGCTTTTGTGTGCATTCGTCTGTGAAAAGATGAAATTATTAGCAGCTTCATCAATAGGAATCTAAACGATAATTTACAACTTTTCACCGAAGTAGAATTAAATATCTTCCACTCCCATTGACACTGAGGTGAATAATTGTTTTAGCATATACCACAGGTAACCAAAAAATTCGTTCATCTCTGTCAATGTACCAAAAAATAGTCGTAAATTAAATTACTAACGACTGATTTTGTCTCTTCGGCTCCGTAGCAGCCGATCAGCGCGCACGAAAAGCGCTATTAACCTGTGTGGTATATGCTAATTGGGGTTAGATAGTAAGCTACTAATTCATCATAATTATCGACCTCTTGAGTGTGAATGAGAGCGAGTTTTCAATGAAGGGGCCTAGGAATTTACCCGACGGGAAAACGATGTCAATAACTTCCTGTTGTTGTTCACATTTTTTAGCCTTAATTTGCATTGATATGAAATTGGTCCATCCGTTAGATACAGTATTGCTCAATTTAAGTTCGGAAGAGTAATTTTCATAGACTTGAATCAAAGGCATTGACACCTGAAAGGCATGAATCATGAATGATAAGTTCCAACTATTTCATAGCCAGTTTTCGCACACTTGGATAATCAGAAACTTGTCTTTCTCCTAATTCTTGGGAAATATTTTTATAATGCTTTTATAGCCTGGAATGCTTTGACAACCTGCATAATTCACCAAATGATACCACTTGTGTAGTCATGTATAAGGATAATCATAGAGCAGAAATTCTAGATTGATTCCATGCTGGCTTGGTAAATTCACAATCAGTAAGAACGAAAACCATTAACTTTTCTTGCAGGTTATTGGTGACACCAGTAGTGGTTCAACCACTAGACAACTTACTAGGAACCAAGGAAACTTTACCGTGCTTGAAGACATCAAAAATGTCATTGGTATTCCACTGAAATTTCTTCACACTATTACAAACCCATATGAAGTTATTGCTTTGAATGTAATGAGACAGTCCAGATCTGCCGTAGAGGTGAGCCACGATTGGTCATTTGTTTGCAATTGAATCACCAATCAACTTTTCTTATATTAATTAAGGTAGACAAGAATGACTGATACCAAAATGGACGAGATATGAGGCCGTTTCCATTTTTACGAAAATCAGTAGACAGATGAAAATTTTCCTACTTATGGAGCGGAACAATTGTTTTTTCCTCCAACAGACTGGAGAAAAGACATGTTCCTTTCGAAAAGGTTTTTTAAAAGTTTATTTAGCGATTTAATTTGCGCCAAAAAAAGCCAGAAAAAAAAACCAGTCAATTAAATTACTAAAACGTCGAAAAAAGTTTTGAGGAGTATCTTTGAAATAATCACCATTTTTTTCAAGAAAATGGAGATGTTCGTTCCCACCGTAGAATACTGGTTTTCCTTACAAACGGGGAGAACTTGTAATGTCTCTTTTTATGCTGAAATGTAGCATTTTGATTGAATTTTCCACCTTTATTTCATTACCAGATAAATGACGCGAAGGATGTTTTCGCCCTTGTGGAGACAAATGCACAAATAAGGAAGCTATATGGTGATGCAGTATTAGACATTTCTACGGACGATTATATCAATAATCCAAGGGAGACCATGATACAAATTTGTAGATTCCTACAGGTTATATGTTATAATAGCTATCTCGATAAAGTTGAAAAAGAACTTAAGAAGGAGTCGACGAGGGCTCGGGATCAGGTGATTTGGACCGACGTAGAGAAGGAGTGGGTCGCTGCAGAAATAAATAAGTACTCTTTCCTGAAGTCTTTTGAATTTTGAAACTTTCATGAAAAAGTATTTTATTGATTGATGGTACGAGGCCTTAAACGAGTACTCTAGTTATTGTTTCGTAATTTTTCTGGTAAAACAAGAAAACATTTAAAATTGAGGAGATTTTGGGTATTCAAAAAACATCTTAAGAGGCAGGAGCTCTATAGAGGGGCAAGGACATACAGAATAGCACTGGCGTTCCCTCCTTCCTAGAAGTGTAGAATTTTATCAATTGACCGTTAAGGACAGTTTTTAACATATACGAGGTGAAGCGGGTCATATAGTTCATCATAGCAATTTGCTTAAAGAAAGTGTAATTTGCCTTAGCGCCGCAATTGCTATTGTCTGTTGTTGAAGAACCTTAGCAAGGCGTTGTGCAATAAATTAATGTAAGCAATGGAACCAGACATTTCAGTTGATACTCAAACCTGACTCCAAAGTGTCTAATCCTTTAGCTCCCATGGGTGACCAAGACAGAATTTTTCTTTACAATATCACAACAATATCAAGCTGACAGGTGATGAGGACAAAAAAGAATACCAATTAGGGGATCAGTAGTTGATCCAATACCTAATTGTCCGAACTAACATCTAATAGTTACATGACCCACAATAAGGAGAACTGCTTGTGAGATCTGGGAGTTAAAGGGTTAACAAAAGTGTTTGATCTTTGGATACTTTACCTCAAGCGAAAAAAGACGCCATAGCTATGTTAATGATTAAGCATTTCGGATGCAGGTCAAACATTTAAATAAGTCATACAGTAATCAGTCACTCAGTTAGTCAACCGATCAGTTATATTGTTATAATTTAGTAAATTTGTCAATAACGTAGTCTGTTAGTTAGTCGGTCATGCAATTAAACCAACTTTTTCCTTATGTATTTCATTGGCTCGCTTCTAATCTGTTCCGACAAATTAAAATGTACACATCTGCTTAATGCCATTCTATCACTAGATAAAATATCTCAGTCACAGCATTGAAAATGTCGCTTCTCTATAATATGAACTGTATTTTTTACGTTCTGGGATCGGGAACCTTAAAAAAACGTGACGTGAAGACGAATAGTATTTTTTTAAAGATTCCAGCAAATTTCGACAGCTGTGAAAGTTAGCAATTAAGGACTTCAACACGCATCGAGGAGTCAGCTGTGACGTTAACAATCATCATACTAGCGTATTCCGACAACTCGGGGGGACCCAGGTAAGTTTTTTGCAAAGTTCATTGTTTTATCAGTATTCCCCTTCAAACCTGAACGATTGAAAGAGTGGATATTTTCTCATCTCGTCTTGAACTCTCTGCTTCTGTTCTTCAGTCCACGCGACCGATGTTCTTGTAATAGACGGTTTCCCATATAGGATACTTTCAGCTTGTTGAAGATAATCGCTCTTGCAAGTGACGTCAAGAAATTTACATACTGCCATCATTGTTTCTTTAGGTTTTGATATCAGTTCGTGACTTAAAATATCCAATACTGTGTCATCGCCATACGTTTGTCGAATTTTTTCATTTGTCTCAACCAGTTCGAAGAAAGACTTTATAAAACCATCAAGCGTTGCTGGTTTATTTATCTGTGTGATAAACACATATTAATGCAAGATATTTGATTGCGAGGTTTCACATGCGAAATCGTAGAGAGGACAAACATTACATTTATCAGTAAATTAGCTATCAAGATTGTGTTCTTTTTAATATTTCGCAGCTAAACACCCAGGAAGGTTAGCAAATCGTGTGGTAGTATAGTCTGAGCGTCTGGGTAAGTGTTGTCCTGAGAAGGACTATTGTCGGAAGTGGTAACTGACGTTTCGACAACTCGAGCGGAAGGCAGGTGACAGGAGGGAAAGTCACAAGTTTAAGCACGAGAAGTGGCTTATACTGCTGTCCACCTTGTACATCAGCAGGCCCGTATTCTTGCGGCGGGAAGAACCGGAAAATGGAGTGTCCGGGAAATGACTTATGCCATCATTGTACAATATTCGAATTTGCGCGTTTTCACTAACCTGAACTAGAAAAGGAAGGGGAGGATTGTGGTTTCCTAAGAACAACTTTAGCTACACTCATGATAAAAAAATAGAGATAAACGTTTTTACTGGATCAAGTTATTTTGAGCACCATAGATTATTCCACATTTTCCATAAGTTATACTTTTAAGTTTCTAATTACAGCAAGAGATAAAATGCGTAGGTATCGAAGGAATGATCCCTTACAACGGTGCTTTACGTGCTATGCAAATTAACTTTAATCGGCCGAAGGATTAGACCTCACCTTAGATAATCCATCGCTCGCTTTGCGCCTTAAATTGAAAAGCCTTAGTACCCAGGTGGAGATGACGTCATAAGGATTTCTAACGACGTGAAGAAACCTTAAAGAAATGCCAAGCGATTCATTGAGTTCTTTAAGAGCAGCAAACTTTTCAGGTTTTTCAGTAAGTTCCATTGTCGTTCCACCTCCTTTCTTGTCTCCAATAACCTAGATTTCGATTCATAATAAGATAGATTATCTTGATTGTACATCCTCTAAAAAGTGAGAACGTTAAACCTCTGAGCGTGTTGGTCTTATTCTGTTAATGTTCCATTGGTCAATATCTACTCAAGTTTAGCTTCTTCAAGATGATTTTCTTTCTGCAGTACTATGTAATACTTTCTGACGTCTTTTATCCCTGCTGAGCGGATTTTGTGCCGCTCTCATCAGACGGCTAGATGGTTTTCACCGTAGATAACGGTAATTGGATAAATTTCTGAGTTTAAAAACCGTACTTTTTTCCTTGTTTAGGATGCTTTTTTTCTTGTTTTTGGATGATTTTATCCTGGTTGATTTTGGCTGCACAAGTAACAAAGCATTACAGGATAATAGGATGAGTAAAACTTACCCTAAGTTTGTCACTGAATGTCCCTTGCCAAGAGCCAGGGACATTGTAAGAATATATACCATCGTCAATGAAGACAGGTTTTTCTGCTCGGTTACCAAAGGTGGCTTGCCACGTGGATAACGAGTGCAGATTAAAGAAAAGGAGATATTTCAGCAAACCGGATTTCTTGATTGCTTCTTCTTGGAAAGAATTCCAATGCTCTATGATATGATACTCGTGAGGAATTATTATTTCAGGATGAGCATCCAAAATAGCTCCTACAAGACTGTGAGAACTTCGAGGGTAACCAATGAACATGACAAATGTCTGAACATCATTGTAGAGCTCATACAGTTTGGTTAAGCTGTCAGGAATTCTACCAGGAAGACATGGAGAGTCTCGAGATCCTTGAAGGAAAAAAATCCTTTGTCGGCGAGAAAGGTACTCTTTACAGGAATATTTCGCTGTTATAAGTCTGTATATTGAGACTGAATAACAGATCCTGCCTCTGCGCCTTATGTCCACCCTGCCTAAGCGACAAAAAGAGCTGGATGGTAGAACAAGAACTTCCAGCCGACTTTCGTTTTCCAGAGGTTCATGATTCGTACTTCTTTTTCAGGTACTTATGACGCAATATGTATTTGTCTGCCTTTCGCAGACAAACGTACGAGAATATTTTTGGGCCACGCAGAAACTAACACATGTTTGATTTTTGTGCGCGAGTTTTACTTTTAAACCGAACGTCATTATTAGTGTACTTAACGTTTGCTTTTACCACGAAACCAATTTCTAAAGACTAAATTATTCCTAAGTGGGCCTCTCTCATTAGACTTTTTGATTTCCATTTACATCTGGCCACTTTGAATCGCTATTTCACCTACTAATTCAAATAACTTACCCAAGGAGGATTTATTCGTAGAGAGGTCTTTCAGAGGCGATGATGTTCCGTCATCATTTTTATTTGATCTGTTCCAAAGATACCATCCAGTTGTGAGTAGCAAAAGAGTCAAGACAACAAAGGTATTTTTAAACCATTTCGAATACTTAAAGTGAAATTTCATCTTTGCGTCGTGCATATCTGTTGGAAAGAAAAAAATATTTTTTTAAAATAAAGCGAGGATTTGCCCCATTCCTGGCACATTGTATTCCTCGATTAATCGCCAAGCGCCACTGTTTAGTAAACCTGCCAAATTTAAGAAGGTGAAGCAAGCAGAATTTATTTTACAAAGCAGTCTGAGGCCCACTCACAGATTCTATTGACGTTTGAACTTAAGGATTTTTTTTAAAAGCAGTGAAACGGTGAGACCACGTCTAATACATGGCACACATATCGAAGCGGTTTCGTCAGTGGCATTCGTTGACTGTGAAGGCACTCGGCTATCAAAGGCTCGACTTTTTTTTTAAAAGGTTCGTAACTAAATTATTCAAAACGCAAGTGATTTCCAAATCTTAAAAAAAACGTTATTAGCAATAAAAAATAGGAGAATATAAAGAAAGCGGAAAAGATGAACAATATTTACCTGATGGCTTGAAATGCAGCTCCGATTACACTTTGGATTCTTAATCTCGCCGTTACGAACACTGAAATTAAAAATCAAGCGCCGGTAATTATGATAGTTTATGTAAATTCTTATGAATGCATGTCACATACAGTTCTTTCGTGACGGCACGAAACAGAAGCTTAAAATGAAAAATATTCTGAAATTACGAAAGCGTTTCTTTTAGTTCCACTACTCAAGGTCCCTCTTTAAAACTACGTTAGTTTCCGGTGGGAACTTGTAACAAATAATACACAATTATACTTTATAAGTCAAATCGCGAAAGTAGGCGTTAACCCAGCTTCATAAGCCTACTTGCCTTAATATTTTGTCGGATAAAGGTCTGTAGTGGCCTAGCATTTTCTAGAGGAGGAAAACTTCCAGTCACGCAACGAACTGTTTCCCAATTAAAGAATTCAAATCAGATCATGTTGAATAGCTCTTCTTATCCACAGAGTTTTCCTGCTTATCATCTGGGTTTCACTTGGAAGCTGACAGAGGAACTACTGATAAGATGGTCAACTTATAATTGAAATCAGTATCCTTTTTTTTAGTTAAAGGTAACCTGTCACGAAATTGGAAACCGGAGGAAATATAGTTTTCCCCCTCTATAAGTCCCAGAACTCTCTACAACTACTCAACCTTCCTTCCAATTATGTGAGTGCAGAAAAATATATCTATAATCGATTTAGAGGGATTAAAGAGCTTTTACTCACCAAACGATTCGCCTGTAAGTATCACGTTTGTATCTTGATTGAAGCAAGCGTCAGAAGAACGTTCTACGTGATTGCCGATTGAGACCAAGTGCTTAGCGACCAAAGCGAGTTACGAAATATGCAAATATCAATTAAGGAAAGCGCCATAGGCTTTTTTGTGTTGGATTTCCGACAAAGTGTCAGCGTAATATTTGCCTAAAGCAATAAATTATATCTTTTTACTTGCTCTTCCTGAATAGTTGCGTGGATTTCAAAGAGACTCCAGAATATGTTAAAAGCTGTAGGTCTATATTTGCAGTATTGCGAAAACATTGAATACGAGTGTAATTCTAAGTAACTTTTAGAAATTTTTATATTGCTGTATAAAATTGCTGTATTAAAAAAAAAACAAAATGACTAGAGGAATAAGAATAATTTATTGTTCTAAACAAATCCCTTTATCGCGCAAAGTAAATTCATTCCAAAAGCTTTTTTTGCGGCTAACGGTATTTCGTCACAAAAGATAATGAAAATTAAAAGGGTAGGTAGCTATAGATGAAACGCAAAACGTATTTTTTAAAATTTTTTTGCTCAGTAAATTGTTTGACGGTAGAACGACCGTAGTCAGCCAAATACTTTTAACGTCTGCAAAAGAATTAAAAAACTCTGTTTTGCAATGAGTTCGACCAGGAATATTGTTGATTAGGCATAACGATGTGATTTCAACACATTTCATGCAAATTTACCTGTTGGAATAACTACCTATTGGTAAATAGTTTGTGTATGTATTTAGCAGCCTTTTCACAGGTGAGTAGACCACGAGTAAAGCATTATCCCCTCAAGTTTTGGTTGACACCTAATTTTGAATTGGACGATCAACGGCAGTCGAGGAGATAATGTGTTTGTTTTTGATGTTGTTGTTTACTTGTCTTATTATCTTTTTTCATCTTTCAAACATTAAATGATGGCGAAAAATGTTTTTTTGGAAAACCATTTTTAATCATGGACCCCAGGATAACTCTAAGCATATATCACAACATCTTTTAAAAGTAAAGATGCAATTAATGCCCCACGGCGTAATATTGTGCTGACATTTAAAAGAAGGTTGCAGATATTGGGTAAAAAGGTGGGAGAGTATCAGGAGGAGAAAGGTTGGGGAATACACGGGGTAAAGGTGGTGATTATTGACAGAAAATGTGAGGATTTATAACAGAGAAAGGTGGGTAAATACTGAAGAAAAGGTTTGGCCATTTAAGTCTAAAGATAAGTTAGATGGGGCAACCGTGGGGAAATACTGAAATAAATGAAGAACAGGGAAGTCTATCCAACGATAGAAGTTGCTTCATTTTTTAGTATTAAATGGCAATTTGACAGTATAACCAACTATTAATTAACTCTCTTTCTCGTAGTTAACAAATATTATGTTTATTGAGTCGTGTCAAATATCTGTTCATGACTATCAGGCCACCGGTGAGATCATTTCTTTGTCTCGACTTTCGACTAACGACGTTTCAGATTTTCGTTGACAAGTTGTACGGATCAGGCCTTAAGACTATTGATTCCCTAGATTAAACATACAAGCCTCCCGAGGACTTTGTAAGTACAATTCGGCCCTTATATTGATTCTATAATGTAAAGAATAGATCAAGTACATTGATTTTATCCAAAGAACCGGTGCAGAACTTAAAACATGCACATTTACCAGTCGATAATTTAAAATATCAGCCAAATGTGATTCTAAATTACTAAGAGTAAAATAAATTGAATAAAGGTTTTGAGGGTAGTTATTTATCTTAATTATATACCTCTGGACAATCAGTTTTCAACTTTGATAAGTTATAGCTGCTTATAAACGCTCCTCGTATGTGTGGTGCATTATTTTGCCAAAGTATGGTATAAAACAAGTGATATTGGGGGCGCTGTGATATCAGGTGAAGGGGTGAGACTGTTTCCTTGTTAAAGATATTGGATCTAGTGAGCGACTTCTGCCAGGAAATGATACAGGCTTCCTCTTCTTTTAGGAATATCTAGCTCTTCACCTGAAAAAAACCACAACGGAATATATGATTTTTAAGTGAATCTTACGGGGCGATCATGAGGCGAGCACATAAAAGAAAAGAAAAAATCAAAACTTGTTTATTTACTGTGGATCTAAAATTGTTAGCTCATAATTAAACACATTTTTCTTTCAAACAAACCCACTATTTAAAGATTAATCATGGCAGTACTGATCGTACAATGTAAACTCACTTGTTACTATCAACTTTTCCTAAACCCCGTCATATGAAAAAGACGATATCCTGTTTGAGTATCTTATTGATCTCTTCCTTTTCTGTTCATGCAAGTCCTGGAATTCTTCAAAGGATATCTGTGTTGAGAGGCACACTTACAAGTTAACTCAAGATGAGCAAAATGCTGACGCGTCCTCTTTCTTGATTACTCACAGAATTTGAGAAAAGTAATTTCTAAGCTACCGTTTAAAATTGCAAATTTAAAGAGGTTCAATATTATTAGGAGAATGTATCGGATAAATAAGTAGGAAAACAACGATAGCTATTTTGCAATGTTTTGCGTCTTGACTCAGCAGAAATTTAAAAGTTACCAAAAGTTGAGAACGTCGAAGGATAGAGAGAAGGAATACCGACTACGAAAGGCTAAGTTGACATGGTTAATAGTATGAATAGAGTTCAGCTCCTTTAAACTCCTTTACTTGAAATGTGTTTTTATTGTCAATCATAATTTTGTTTCACGAAAAAAAAATAAAAGAAAATACCAAAAAAAATTACTTTCAAAGTACTGATCTTTTGAATAAGCTTTAGTTAACTATGGAGTACCAGACTAGTGCTTGGATGCTTGCACTTTCACTCCTTATTGATGGGTTTAAACCGCCTTACAAAACGAGTCGGGCTGTAGCCATCAGATGTAAAGTTATATCTCGAGCTTGTAAAATAAAACCTGTGCAAACTTAGTCACGAAAAAAGTTACTGACAATGTTTAAAACTGAAGCTTAATGTTCTTTTGAAGTTAGTAGTCCTATTGAAATAAAGGGGCACCTATAGACTGCATTGTTTTAACTTTGCCGTAAGCATAAAATGCTCAAAAGGTGAGTTGGTTAAAAAGGGCTGCGCATTTCTACCAAACTACCCTCGGCCGACCATCAAGGCCTCAAAAGCAGCTGCTGTTGCTAGAAACCAGCTTTTTATCCCTTTTAATTCCTTCTTCCGTATACAAAAATGCCGACTATTCTTTTGCTTTGATAGCAGAAAAACAAAGTAAATTTAGGAAAAACACCTTAGAAATTTTGCATAAGATAAAGACCATTTCTAACGGAAAGGGTATCTTGGCCTTTTCTACTGCCCTGCTCGGTGCTTCCTTAAAAGTAATTGCATCTTTCTTACAGGTGAATGGCGATAAATCTGAAGGGACATTACCCTGATTTGATTGGAGATGTAGCATAGCCAAGTATCATTATTATTAATAAGGTAAATACTCATGTCTGCTTTTGCTGGTTATGCTTTGCTTGGCATATTTTATCCTGCAGCTCAATTACTTTATCTTGTAGCTCATTAAATTTAGTCTTAATCACATGATAAGCAGCTGGTATTGAAGCAATATCACTAAGTTCATTTGTGTTGTAAACTGGACCCAGACCCACAGAAATGACCGTCACCCCTGCTCTGTGAAGCGCTTGAGCGGAAGCTTGGACATTGTCCCGCGAGGTGCCTCGTGTGAGCACAACAAGAACTTTGGGGACATTTATCCGACTGGCCTTATCAAACAACTTTTTACTTGCTAAGGCCAAGGCTTTTCCTGTCATGGTAATGGTTCCAGGATACTTAATGTTCTCAATAGCGAGGGCTAAATCCCGAGGGACGGAATATTTGTCGAAAGGAATTGACAGTGTGGGTTCGGTTCCAAAAGTGACGGCCCCAACCCGAGTTCCTTCAGGGGAAATGTGAAATCCTAAAGAGACATTTTTAACAAAGTCCAGCATTTTCTTGAAGTTTCCTTTTCCAAGAACCTCGATACTCCTTGCACCATCGATAACAAATCCGAGGTCGGAATGGCACTTTCTCTGGGTCTGTAATCGAGCTGCAAGCAAACATGCCGAATGATTCTAATTAGTCTTACGATTAGAATGAGCCTTGAAGACAATTTAAGTTAATAAGAGAATTTGCTGTCTTGCGGATAGAGTTACATTTAGCGGCAAAGCGTCGGAATGAAGTCGCACTATTCTATGACAAGTTAGCAAAGCGATGTTATTTGAGTATGTTAGAGGCTAAATTTCTGAATAGATCATAAAATATCTTAAATGATAAGATGCTTGACACTGCAGTGAACGTTAGAGATTGACTGCCAAGGATGCTGAGAAATCTTTGTGTGTGGGCCACTTGACGGACTTCTATGAAAACTTCTCGTCGATATTTATTACTTGCCAATTAATGAAAAAATTGAACGTGTGCCTTACGTCTCGTCGATTATGGGTATTAGGACTGAACATAACTAATTCAACAAACTGATCGTAGTTTGATCAAAATGAATGGGTAGAGTACTCCAGTAGGTTGTATTCCCTCTCACTTCTTAGTAACTTAGCTCTACGGCATTTTTGGAATTGGCACTGATAGGCTCTAGAATTAACTCATGATGTATCGCGAGTTAAGCTTACAGGTACATCCCATAAGGCGTGTGTCCCAGGTTCGCATATTATGCCAGTGAAACCAGATACACTGGGTCTAAATGTAAATTAAAAGAGTTATACCTTTAAAATAAAGCCTACATAGGGGACGTACTCTCTTAGCATGTTTTTCTCTTTTAACCAGCTATCCAAGTTTTCTGCTTTTTTCAAGAATTTCTGGTGCCGTCTTTCAAATTAGAGTATGTTTCCCCACTTATTTAACATTCAAACGCATCTTCACTTAGTTTCGGTCTTTCCCACACGTACCTATATTCACGTACTTAAATGTGGATAGTCATTCCAGTCAAAAGCTATATCACAGGCTGCTTACCTGCCCTTTTCGCTGACTGACATATTTCTTTTTGAATTTTCCCCATGAATGCATCGGCATCATTAAATGGAGCTAAGAACACGTGACTGCTCTTGGGCTCGGAAGCGATGATATCAAGTTGTGTTTGATTAACATTGCTACCTATGCCAAGGCAGAACACTTCGATACCCCGCCTTTTGAGTTCTATGGCAGGTCGACTGACGTCATCAGATGAAAATCCGTCGGTCACCAGAAGCAGCACCTTGTGTTTTGACGTGGGAGGCTGACTAAACAATTGCTTTTGAGCCACTGTGAGAGCCTTTCCTATTCGTATCTCAAGGTTTGGAATACTAGCGTTATCAATAGCTCGATCCATGCTCTTCTGATCGAGGAATTTGTCGAAGTGTACCACGGAAGGTTGTGGTGAGCCTCCATACACTACCATACCGACACTATTACCTTGAGGAGACACAGGAAATAAGTGGGAAACTTGCTTTACCAAATCCATCATCTTGGCTGCCTGTTGGGTACCACGACCTTCAGAGGAAGAAGAGCTATCCAAGACTACTCCAAGGTGGACTTTACCACACTCTAAGGGCAAAAATATAAGTAATGATATCACATTAATATAACGAATATCGATAGGAATCGAGAAAAGAATATTTAATGCTCTGCTAGTGAAATTTAACTGAACAGAGTGCGTTTTACTACTGAGCTAGGGTTCCTTCATAGTTTTTCTAGCGAGTTGTACGGATAAATCTCAAGTTGATTCCTCAGAAAAAAAAATTATTTGTCTGGAAAACTGCAATAAAAAGATAGTTGATCGTGCTCGCCTAAGAGATATGATGGACCATTCTTACCCCATTTTTACCTGTATTGGAACTAATCACGAGCGTCATTTTATTGGTAGCTGGAAGCAATGGTTTTTACAGTAAAACTTGAAAAAAATACTTGATGAGCAGAAAGTCTCGAATGTATGGAATAATGTGATATATAGTTTGTGGAAAAGACACGTATTTTGAATGAAATCGCTTCAAAACGTTTCTCGAGTTATTACTCTCAAGGTCATGATTTGCATCGTCGAGTAACAAGCTTCGTGTACACTTCTATACGACAATGTTTTTAACTTATTCAATTTAACGGAGGCAACTTTTTATCGCAAAATTATGCAATAAAAATATACATCACCGTGCTCGTTCAAGAGCAAAACACTATCTTACCTATTTACCTCGCCTACTAATTGGATAACAATTCCATGTTTTTGGAATGCACGCGCTTGTTAACCTCGTAACGTGATTATTAAGCGCAGTACAGGATGCACAGTGCAATACTAAGGAATCACCTTAATTGCTTTCTTGCGATTCAAAGAACGAGACTTTCGATAGTATTTAAGCTATGTGAGATAAACATTTCAGTTTAAACTGAGACCAAAAAAAAATAATTCTGTTAGGAATAGGGAGATAATTAGAAAATTCTTTGTGACAATGGAAAAATTGCAATGTTTTTTGTGTTTTATACGAGGCTTCGAATTCTCACCATGACTGTTTTTTTCCTGTTCCTCGGTCTTAAAATTTTCTGCAGCTTTTCCAACTGCCATAATCTTTGAAGGCACTTTATATTCTGGTGAAAGCTCATATTTCTCTTTGGAGTAACGTTTAGGATAATTTGGTCGCTCGAAGGGCTTACTGCTGATCTTTACGTTAGAAGGCGCTTCAGTGCCAGGAAGTATATGAGGACCAGAGCCCTGAACTCTTTCGTTACTGAATGTTGTTGATTTAAACGAATCACCCGGAGGACCGGGTGCTCTGTGTAATGTCTGACTCTGATTTAATGATTGAGCAATACTTGCGTCTCCTTCGTCCTGCGACTGATAATTCTCCTTGATTCCAGTGGCAAAGCGATGGTCTTCTCCACCGTGTAAATGTTCTAGAGTCTCGTTATACCGACTATCTATTACGCTTTCCGTTTGTTCGTCGCTTTCGAATCTACGACTCTCATCCGAATTTGTCGTAACATCCTTCGAGCCTTCATCAGCAACTTCATGTTTATTCTCAGGGGGTGAAGATGGTTGGGTTTCAGAATGTAATGCCTCCTCGTCTTGACTAAGTTCTCCCGAGGAAACAACCTTGTTCTGATACTGCTGTTCGTTTCGAGAATCCATTTTGGAAGGGTGAAGTCCACTAGAGATAATTTCTGTTTGCCTTTCCGAATTACTGCCTGTCTGCCCAGCTTGCTGATCTGCTCCTCCTGGACCTCCTGTGGATTGAAAGCCTTCAGTAAAAGGTTCTTCCTGGGAAAGGGGCCTCCTTTCAGTATCCGACTGTCTATATTTTTGAGAATATCTTAAATATTGTTCGTGATGATGGTTTAAGTCTGTAGGTACCGTTCCACTCTCAGAGGTGTCTTTGATGTGATCAGAAGAAGGCCCTACCTGGCCGTTGTACGTCTCACATGTGCAAGGAACTTGTCTGTCCCGAACGATCCCCATAACATCTTTTTGTAGATGGAAGAACAATAAAGGAAACATTTGGTTAGACAATTTACCTATTGCTAGTCTCTCCTAAGAGCCTCTCGTTAACTCAATTATATCATGATTATTAGTCAAGACAGCGTAGTGAGAAAGCTGAATTGTACTGTGTGAAGTTATTGAGAAACTAGAAAACTTATCATATTGATAACCGTATTTATAGTTATCTATGCGTTGCCACCTTTTCCGGAGAAGTAAGCTGTGGTGACATATCAAGTCACATATCTGTTTGCATCTCATGCAAGCCCCATGTAAACCCTGTGTCTCGTCATACAAACATTAGATGCATACATACAGTCGATACACGCCCTGAGGACACCTCGCTATTACGAACACCCGGCAATTGCGGACAAGAGCCAGCCCCCCGACGAAAAGCATAAAGAAATGACTAATAAACTCCCGTTATTACGGACTCTAGCTATTACGCTATTACGGAAATACGGACACTTTCATGCCCCCCTCCCCCCTTCCCCATTCAGCGCGACGTTTCACTTACATCTTCATAAAATTTATATGCATGAAAGGCATGGATTAAGAGGTAAAAAAATATAGAGAAGGCATACTTCTGGCCTTTAAAGAGAGTATTTCACATAGGACGGGAGAAAACTGTCTGCAAAACCTGGAATTATAAATTGGAAAGAGGGACAAATATTTCTTTCCCTCGCCCATACTCTACTTTCTCACCTCTACAGACCTCCTGAACAATATCATCCATTGCATTCGGCAAAGTGTCCAAGAAAGCGGTGAAAACGTGTTCTGACTTTGGCTCTGAAGCAATGTTTATCAGCTCCCTCACATTAGCCTGTTTACCTAAGCCAATAGCGGTAATTTTGACTCCAGTATCTCTCAACTCTTCAGCAGGTGCAACTACATCGTCAGCTGAACTACCGCTTGATAACAGAACAAGAGCCCGTGGGGCATCTTGGCGACCGGAAATAGCAAAGAGATTTGTTTTCATTTGCAGGAGGGCACTTCCGGTGTAGGCTTTTCCTCCGATATACGGTGCGATATTAACGGCATCGTCAAATTGCCTGAAGTCGCTGAGCCCTTTGAGATCTAAAGCTGTTTTTACATCATCACCAAAAGCCATTAATCCAATATGGGTGTTTCTTTTGTCAAATCCACGGGAGAAGATCTTGATGAATTCCAGAACACGAGCATAGTACGGCTGTGGAATATTACCAGAGCCATCTACAAGAAAGGCGACGTCTGCTTTGGCGGAGCACTCTGTGAAGCGAAAATATTCTTGGGCTTATACAAATACACTAGGGGTAGCGAGGATTTATTAGTTTTCACGGTCACCATCATCTGGACATCAATTATATCCGGCTTGATGTGAGGAGCTGATATCCCCTTGATTACGGGGGAAAAAACAGAGAGAAAGACAGAGAAAACCTACTGAATGTCCCCAATACGCGCTGTTTAACGAACACGTTGTTAAGCTACTTAGACTGTCGTGAAGATTTTGCTATGCGACTTGGTGGTTAATGATTAATAACATGATTTTAAAAAGCAATAATACTTACCAGTGCTGCAATTGACTTCTTCCAACCAAATTCCGAGAGAGAAAGTAACAGATGTACGCTAATAGGAATAGCAACACAGTGATGTGCACGGATAGGATGTGACTCTTACCTTTCTTTGGACACAAGCAATCTTCTGTTGGCTCTGTGTTATAATGGTTCGACGTAAGACTGGTTCCACTTTTCTCCTGGGACTGCTCTTTATTTTCTAAACTGTAATGCTGTTGATTCATCGTAGCCTCATCCCCATTCTTTTCAACTTCCTCTTGAACTTGCCCTTTCGAGGTTTCTCCGGTGTACGCCTGTGGCATGCTCGAGTCTTGGTATCCGAGTCCCATGCCTCCATCGGGACTTACCTGGCTTTCAGAGTTAGATTGTTGTATTACTTGAGCATCCTCTCTTTGAGAGAGATCACTAATTCCTTGCATGGCCTCATTGTCAAAAACTGGTCTTGACTGTTGGCTAGCATCTGGTATGGGTGACTCTTCATTTTCTGGTCCATAATCTTCTCCTATACCACCTTCATGATTCTGCATTGCACTGTCTTCCCCAGGACTTGGGGACTCTTCTCCATTTGCTGGCCCATAATCCATTCCTCCCAATGTAGCACCTTTGTTTAGGTCCACCATGGGCACCGGTTCTCCTTCATATGATGACGGCTCCTGATCTGACTCCTGCTTTTCATTTCTTTCACCTCCTCCATTTGATTGGAATGCTTGTCCCTTACTCAACGCAGAAGGTTTGCTCGACAGTTGTTCTTGAGGGGGATGTTTTGCTTGTATAGCAGTTCCCACATCTTGCTGGGATTTAGGATTTTTCTCTGCTTTCTGTGTATCTATTCCAACAATGGGCTTTTCTTTGGCCATAGGCATAGCATTTCCTGTCTTGAAAACATGGTGTGAGTCATCAACTGATCCCTCAGCTCGTTCTCCGTGTTCGACGTACGCCCCTTGCAATTTGCTTGATGTCACTTCAGTGGCTCCTTCCTTCTGCCCAAATGCCTGCTTTTCTTTGTCAGACAATTTTTGATGGGCAGATATGTCTATGTCTTTGGAGGACTTCGAGCCAAAACTTGATTCTGTTGGCCTTTTCTTTGAACTTGCAGATGGAGATTGGTGCATTTCTTTTCCTTTTTCATTTCGAAAGTTTTCCTTGAACGTTGTTTGTTTTCTCTGCTCTCTTTCCGTGTCCTGTTGTTGAGTGTGGTGAGTCTCTGTGTCCTGACTGCTTTTTAATTCTGTCATTATATGGTGTCCACTGGGTTTATTCTCCAGCTCCCCACTGTCTCTCGCAGAATCATGAAGATGGTCAAAATAGTGCTGCTCGTGAGGTCTAACCGAGTTGTTTGATGAAACATCGGTTTTCACTGTTTCTAGTGACTGGCCAACCAGGCTAAACCCTTTTGAATTTCGTGAGCTTTCGGCTGCAGTCATTTTATTATTGTCCATTAAGGCTAGTCTATTTTGCTCTTTACCATCATAGTGTTCATTTGTTAAAGGTGTTTTTATTTTGGGAATAAGAAAATCATCTGCGGCTGGCCCTACGTGATTGATTGAAGGGTTATTCACTCTCGAAGGAGCTGTTGCGGAGGAAAACTTTTCCTTATTTGAATTGTCTGCATCAAAAGGTTTTGAGCTCTCATAAAAATCTTTCATGTTCCTTTGTGCATCTGAATTTGATGAAATACGCAATGGTTGCTTTGGAGTGTTAATCTCAAACGAAACACCCTTTCTCGGCATACTTGGCGATTCATTTGAAAATTTACCTTTGAAATTTTCGGGGTTTTGACTAGAAATGGCTACAGATTTTTGAAACGAAGCAATTTTTTTGAAATCTTCTCGAGATATTGGCACATACTTCTCCCCTTTTTTAGGGGACCCATTAAGGTTAAATCTGCTTGGTTGATCTTGATTAGGAGATTGTCCCATATAATGTTCATGAGGCCTGCGTTCCTCTTGCTCTCCGAGAAATGCATTTCCTCCCTCCTTTGGTGAAATTTGGCCACTAGGACCTGAATATTGACGCACGTGACGCCCTGCCTGGTTGCCATTCTGGAAGGAAGATTTTGAAATGTGCAATTCTGGAGCACCAACTCCAAAGTCCCCTAAAGCGAGAATAACAGGCGATATCAAACAAACATAATTTCAAATATAAGAAATACCAAACAAATAACGTTTACCAATAATAATGATTACTCGTTAAAACTGGAAAAGCAAATGTTTCAAATACTAACATAGAGTGTACTCGAAATTAAAAAAAAAACCATTTTTTCTCCAATAATAGCTACAAAAACAATCTTTTCTTTCAAATTCGTAAAATAAAACTAACGGCTGGTCCGGTCTGCAGTGAGTAATGCTTATCTGGGTGGGCTAGTCTTAAGATGAGATAATCCTAAATTACAGTACTTTTTTACAAATGATGAAAAAGGAAAAAAGTCAAACGGCTTAGTGGAAGAATTAAATATAGAAAGGAGTTTCAAAGGCATTATGAAATGCTGAAATAATTGTGCTTCTGTGGAATGATCTCGTGTATGACAAGAAAGAAATGTACTCTTTCGAAAACACTCCAGTAAATTTTAAAGCTGACGTTTCGAGCGTTAAACCTTCGTCAGAGCGATAGCAATCGCTCTGACGAAGGGCAAACGCTCGACGAAGGGCTAACGCTCTGACGAAGGGCTAACGCTCGAAACGTCAGCTTTTTTACCCTTTACGGTGGCTAATTTAAGTTTTCAACTCAGTTGTTAACACTAAATTACCTGCTATCTCATTCGATAGTCTGGCACAGGTTCTTGAGAAAGTATTTTTTTGAACCACAGGGTTCATGTAGAAATTGTTAGACGTAAAAAAGCGTGTGTTGTAGGAATAGAAATCAGATGTTTTCACAATTAACTACGTCTGTTAATGGGTGCTGAGGCAGTGGTAAAATCATGCATAAATTTCGTTAAATAGTTATTATACAAAAAGTGCAAAGGTAAAAGTTTGGCTCTACTAAAGATGAATTTCGTGTTCAGTTTTCTTTGCAAAATAAGTAAGGCGTTGTGCACGTTTCAGTAGCAATAATAGTTTGTTTAGGCGAGACCTGACCCCAAACGGTAACTTAACGACTTCTTTTATAGCCAGATGACCTTCGTATTCTGATGTTAGGTTGTCTAACTGAAAAGAGCTACTGGCCAATGTTAAGTACTGTTTAGCCATTTTTAAGTTCGCTTCTTCTGGTCGTCGTTGTCTCACTTTTTACGTTCTTACCTTTGCAAACTTTAACGTTGCAATCTTGACTCTCTAGACTGGGACCCAAGCTCCTACAATCTTGTCCGCCATTGGACGGAGCTGGATTTGAGCATTTACGCATGCGCCTTCTGACTCCACCGCCGCATGACTTGCTGCATTCAGTCCAGGAAGACCAGGGGCCATAATCGCCGTTAACACTCTTTTTTGTGTCTAAAAAACTGCAGATACAAACAGGTTCCGTGGGATAAGACTAGTGTTGATAAACATACTTTCAAAAGGAAATTTTGAAAAAACAGCATAAAAAACGCACAAGAAAAGTGTCAAAAAAAGCTGCCAAAAATAATCTGTGAATTGATTATTTGTTTTTCATGGTTGCTCTGCTCATATATTAAGTGTTTGGTTTGGTACACCTTTGAGTATTCGAGCAGTAACCTATTTCCATAATTATGTCAGTTCCCAGTACCTAAATGGTTTAAGCAATAAATTTCAAAGACAGAGGTTCCTTACAAATTCATCAGAGTTCTAAGTATCTGCGCAAAGCATAGTAATTCACTTTTCTCGATACAGAAAATGCGTTCACTAACTATAGTCAAATTCTCACATGAGAGTGAAGTCTTACCGATATACTTGTATACTCCAAGGCCCTCCTTTACCATCACCTGCAAACAAAGAAATCTATTCAAAGCATGTCCACCTGCACTAAGGAATGAGTTCACTAGGTTACAACGAAGGCCTGCTATTTCGTCTCTATAAAGATTAGGCTCATTAACGGATAATCCTGCATTACAGTACTGGGCTAACCATGTGGTAAGGCTATTTAACCATTCTTATCTATGATGAGCTACAGAATACTTATTCGTGATTGACCCAATCAACTACGTATCTGAACGATCCAAAAAACCTAAAAACAAAAGTATCAATTTTGGCGAAGAGATCTGTCTCAGTGGTGAATTAGTTTTGAGAGTGTCGTTGTCGGTGAGAACGAATAAGAATCACCTGGTGACAATATTAGCCAAAGGTACCTTCTCACACGCTAACTTTGCCATTATACCCCTGCCCTTCTCTGTGCACAGTGTGTTCATTTTAGGCATGATGCCGTTATCCATTTGTCTTGTTAAAATGCCATAAAATTCGCTACTAAAACAAGCATCGACGCCTTGTTTATGTGATCGCATAGTCTGATTTAGAATCTAACTTTCTCGATTAACTCCAATCTGGCCTTCTTTTTCTTATTTGTTCTGGTAAATCTAGTATTTAAGCAAGGCCGGCTTTTTGTGGGGGTCAACGTTTATAAACAGACTTTGTTATTCTGTCATTTTAAAGGTTATTTAAACCCATCCTCTGAGACCAAGGACTAATCGCCTGAGATGGTGCTATTTCTCCCTCACTCCTTTCCTCTATTCTGAGAATTTTGACGGATCAATCCAAAAGATTAAAAAAAATCTATATGTTGCAGCAGAGCGATTCAATAGAGAGTAGTGTCTTCTTACTTAGAGCTCAAAAACTCAAATAAAAGTCAGTAACCAACTCAGGGTTTTAGGGTTAGGTCCCCTGAACCTTAAATCTTGAACCTAATGTGGGGCCTTAATCATACAGCCAATGTTTATTCAGATGCCTCCAACCTTTATGTAAGGCCGACTTTCAATGAGGGTCCGGTCTCTGATCGAAGAAATACATCTCGTTTTCCTCCTGCCGGATATAAGTTTTATATACTCGTTTTCAAATTTCGACACACTTTGTTACCTCTACAATCCTTAGAAGCTCCATATCTGCGATATTCATTGTCCCCAACAGAACTCGCAAAGCACTGGCCTCCATTCTCGATTCCGAATATCTTACGACCCTTATCGAGAGCCGCCTTTGCACATTTGTACAAAGCATGCCTTCTGCCTTTATAATTAGGATCCATTAGAAGATAATGTTCTCCTTCGATTGTTGGTAAGCCTCGCGCCCATGCATCTCGCCAGCAACCCAAACTTTCAAACCCTATAAGTAAAGCACAACTCGTGATGGCATGTCACCCTCTACAATGATATACCCTTAAAAGGATACTACAATATCGTAATTTGAGATAATTTACTTAGGCTCTGTTTCTTTTAAGTGTACAAAGTTTTAATTCACAGTATTTACTAACATTGATCTCACTGAATGACAGATCATTGTCGAGTTTCGGTCCTTAAAATTGTAGATCGTTGCCCTTCGTCCTTTCGGTACAAGCATGAGGAAGTGAGCTTAAGACTATATTGGCAGATTTTTGCATGGTCCCAGCATAAGATACATACTTTAGTCTTATTAAACCTGACACGAAAATCCTGCTGAATTACTAGTATGCCATCCTAGTATAGAAACGTGATGCAGCTCAGCTCGCCTCATATTATAAGCAATAAGTAACCCTACGCTGCCGCAAAATAGATACATACACAGAAGTATAGTTACGGAAGGAGCGTAAAAATTCAGAGGTTTAGAGGTTCAGAGGTTCCGGGCCCCAGTAAGAAACGCATAGTGAGCCACATAACCTCTGTATCGACGATAGATTACTTACGTTGGCCATCAATTTCCAGTTCCCCGGTAATTTGTTGCCTTTTCTCCAATTTTTCAAACTCTTTGTCTTCGCCAGATGTGTTTTTCGCTTTATAAAGTAAATGAATCAAGTTTTGATTAAGCTCAGCGATTATTTATGTTTTGGCAAATCAATATTACCTCTAAAGACTAGACTAATAAAGTATAATCCCTCCAAAAACGGTTCTATTTAACTGCGTAAACGAATACAGGATAATTCCCTTGTTGCTTTGGTTCCTCTGGTAGTTCATTTTCAATCTCTTAAAGGTCTTGAAAACATTCCTTTGGGACGCTCGGACGTGAAGCACTCAGATTTGGAAGACATTATGTCAGACGAACCCAAAGGGTCATTTATTGTTACAAAGCAAGGTAAAGGCTATGGTGTATTTTAATGGATGAAACCACAGCTTTCACAAACTCTTCACAGTGTCTCGAAATGAATGTCAGCAAATAGGTCCCGTCTCCTTGATATGTCCAACTTTCTACAGAGCGAGTAAATGTAGGAGACTTAAAAATGAAAATACTACAGGACTATTTAAGAGCCACAGTTATGACAGTGGGCGTGTTCATTTTAAAAATTAGGATTTGATTAAGCATCTGGAAACTAATAGGTCTATCGAAGGTAGTAAAAGTCTTCTCGCTTCCTTTGTCCTGACAGCCCTGAAAGTGAATTGCTCTAAAACGCATGTGAAAATACGTATCATAGCTCAAAGATACATTTTATAACATTTTTTCATTTGACCGGAAACTTCGACACAAAATCATCACTTACCTTTATTGAGCTTGTTCATGTACCTGCCCTGCACTTTGGTACAAATCACATTCGCCAAGAGTAAAACAATGGCCCACATGTTGTAGTGTCTTTGCTCCAACAGACGTAATATTTCAGTTTTAGAGCTTGAAGCGACCCAAAGATATTTCTAGCTAGATAGATAACACAAGTTAACGAAAAATAATAAAATCATATCTAAGGAAAAATCGTAAGACGGTGAACGTTGGCAAAAAAAAGGAAATTAAAAGAAAATGGGCTTACTCACCAGTTATGACCAACACAAATCTAGCTGTTTTTTTCCTCCAATCAAAGGAATAAGGCACTTATGACTTTGACTTTGAGAATTTTGTGGCAATTTCGTTAAGTTGTGAATTCCAACATTGTGCTAATTTTAAGAAGTAAATTTCCCTTTCCACGACACAGACCGTCTTTGCCTCGTTAGCGAAAAATAGATTAAAACTAAACTTTTCGTGAATTTTTCATGAGGAAGTTCTGAAATATTTATGGCTAATAACCTAACAACCGTAAAGGAAACCATAACATTTTCGCTTTGACTTGGGTAACTTAATCAGGTATGCGAAAAATCGATAGAGATCGACAACTTACGACGAATATTCAACAAAAATTGCGATGGAAACTGGAATGAAGGAAACCCACCCCTCACCGATAAGTAAGGTTTGTTTTCGTCGAAAGTGGAATGAATTCCCCAGATAATTACAAGAGGTATGCTAAAGTTATGCCCGATATCTTAGAGGAGATCAAAATACAACTTCTCTCATACGATCTAATACTTTGAAAAGAAGACTTGTAACAAGAATATCAAACCTTTACATCAAAATGTAAGGTAAACCGCAACTACATTTTGAATTTCAGTTAAAAGAAACGTCATGGATTTTACACATAAATCCTTCCTCTTTTCTACAAAACAAACTATTTTGAATATTAACATTTCCGATATCCACAAAACACCCCATAAGATAAGAACCCTAGAGATAGCGCTAGTTGACTGGTGAAACGGGTGATAAATGTTCCAAACTATTGAGTTCAGTGATATGTCTGTGAACCGGAACCTAATGAAATACATGAGACGAATTGGTCTCTTAAAGTCCAGAGGAGACTGATGCTTTATGATTTATGCCTTAAGCTGGCAGGAGTTTTAGTTACTGTTACAAACAGTAATAAGTGCGGAATCGTTAACTCCGAATTTGTAAAATCTGTTCATTGGGAAATTATTTCATGGTAGTTGAAAAATTAAATATGAAGAGTAGGCACCTTGCTTTGTACTTGGTAAAACTGAGGCATCAGTGCTCCTAAAATAGTTTTCTTTATATCATTATTGCAGTCGGAAAATATTTCGAACGATGGACATTTTTAAAACAGATAACGAAGTTTAACTCGTTAAGGGGCTTTAAGGGTACTCTATTAGGTATTACTTCCATATTTGGTCAATTCAAACGGTTGACAGAAACGGAGAACATGATGTTTGGCATGAAAACATACGTTGAGGTGTGATTTAATCGTTGCACAAAAGCGCCGTCTAACTCCAGGGGAATGAGAACAAACGGCAACGTTAAAGTTACAAAAACTTTATTTAACATTCGGAAAATATCACAAATTTTTCTACACGAACCAAAGTTAGAAGTGCTATAAGTGGAATTTGTATTCTTGGAGCAGAGATGTAACTTACTTGGAAACAGTTCAGCCCGATCGGATAATGAAGTTAAGAAATCGGTTCCCATAGATTATCCTCTGATTTGGTTGATCGAGGCGTCTCTGTTCTATTGTTGTCAGCAGACACGTTTTATGTCTATTGTGCAGACAAGACAGAAGAATGATTGAACTCTCCTGGGGGGTGAGGGTGTGAGGTTACAGTAACTCATTGCGCGCGGAGTAAATAAAGTCACGAATCAAGAAAGGAACTAAAAATTAATATTTTATTTCGAGAATTTGTCAAAAGCAATTATTGTCTTTTCTTATCTTTTTTCATGTTGTCAAGTCTAGAATTAAAATGATAAATATTCAGCAAATTAAAAAAAAAATATGATTTCGAACAAAGTATCAAAGTTGTACTTGATGTGTCGTTCTGGAACAAGGAAACTTAACTTTTTAAATTTTAAGGCCAAGTCCTTCGGGATTCCTCCGTCTTTTTTTTTTTATTTCCTGGCTAACAAATGCTATCAACTGGTCCTCCGCTGCTCTCTGCGCTTCTTCGTTGTAGTGCACATGATCTAACGTACCATTAGGGTATGAGGCGGTCATGGAATACACATCTAACACAGGGATACCAGCCTTGCACATGCGACTAACTGCATACTTGTGGAACAACTCAAGTCTCTGAAAGATACATAAGGGATAACTTCGCTACTTAACGGATTTTGATGGAAAGTGTTTCGCAAAAGATTTCACAATTTAAAAGCCTCTCCTGGCTGCAGGAAAAGAGTTAAGTAATGAAGTTTTGCCGTTTTCAAATAAACGATTTGTACAACATAAGAATCGGATATCCTTTTTCCTGTAAAAGATAAATTTTTCAATCTCTCTTTAGAAAAAAAGAAGAAGACCTAGAAAAATCAGAAGTATATTTAGCAATTCCCGTTTTTAATAACCTATCGCGATCGAATATCACACCTGATGCGTATGAAATCTCCAATGGGTTTTGTTCCTAGGCAGCTCAGCATACATTTTGTGAACCATTTCCTTTTCTATAGAGGTGGTCGTCTTCCAAATTAGGATGGGCATGTTTTCCATTGTGTTATCTAACTTCTTCTTTACAAGTTTCACTACATTGTCTATAAGGCGTCTGTAAGTTGTGAAGTTAAGTGATACGGAGTAATGAACACCAAGATTGAAGAGAAACACACTGTCTTGTGTCTTTAAGTCTGAAGAGTTGAGAATCTCACTCATATGTTGCAGGATAATTGTCTCGTCAAAGTCATTCGGCTCGAACTTTGTCTTTGCTTCTTTTTCACTTGTCAGCTGAAAATTTCATAAAAAAGAGCTGATCATTCAAAAATCCTAATCAACAACCTCGGTGTTGTTGATGCAAAGTCAGCCATTTTCTTGACTTTTTTAAAGAGTCCATTTATAAAAAAAAACCCGACAAATAGCTAATGATAATTTAAAACCTATGCACCACTGAGCCTGCTATATCTCCAACGACTATAGAGGTTAAAGAACTGAAACACTGAACAAAAAATAAAATTGATAATTTAATTATTGTTTCCAATCAGCGTCAATATCAAATTTTCTTGGCCTCACATAGACTTCAATCCCTACCTCATATATCCACATGTAGGAACTGATGCACTTTTTGAAATTTTCTTGACAAATTCCTCTCGATTTAAGGGAATTTAAAAATCTTTGACTGACAGAATCACCATATATCCACAAAGTATCGGCCTGTGTTACTGAGTTTCCTTTTCCTGTTGCGGTTTCGATATCTGGTAATGAAAAAATAATAAATGAGATAAAGGAAGGTCTGTAGTGAAAATTTATAAATTGATTACTTATTTCGATAGACCCAGCTAAAAAGCAAAAAAATGAAAAAAAAAAAAAAAAGAGAATGACGATTTGTTACAGGATCTACTTTAACGCACTCCCTTTTCATGTGTCAAGGAAGATAAATTTTGTAGGAAAACAAACCTGTTACGTACGGCAACCACTCTCTGTTAACCCATCTACCGAATCCATTCTGCACAAAGTTACACTTAATCCCACAACTTTTTGCCAAATTTTTTGAGTCTGGGGAGATTGTCAAAGTACAAATGTTAGGAAAAGTCTGACATTTCTAAAAAATTTTTAATTAGTCTATATTTTCGCATTGTTTCCCATTTAAGTAGATTTGATTAGATTTGATTTGATTTGATTAAGATAAGATTTAAGTAGTTTTGCAAGTTAACTCCATCATTTTAGGTTGTCTCTTTAACTTATGCTAGTATTTACTGACATTTGTAAGTACACTATAAATAAATAAAAACATGATCTCTATATTCAACGTACAAAGCAAAAATACTCAATCCCAATCTAGTCAAACATACCCTCTGTTTCTAAACCAACAATGCAGGATGGTGTGACAAAGGCATCAGGGGTGAGAGCGCCACTCCACGGAACAAAAAAACTGAATGTTTTTTGTCCACCTAGAGGCTGTAGGATGTAGTCATCGCCAATGAATCCCAAGACACCATCTGGTTGATACTTTCCTTGAACTGTTCCTGATACATGAAGAAAGATTCAATACCATTCAGTTACTTTATATTTGGTCGACGGCCCAGCCTTTTTTGCGAATCGGGGCGGCTGGAGGCGTCAATGTGCCTACGGCTACATGTATTATTAGACAATATTAGAACAGCTCGCCATTTGTTGTCCAAAAAATTTTTATAAAAGGAATCAGTCGATTCTGTCAGAATTAATTAATTGATCAATTAATTTGTTGTTTATTGAGTCGCGAATCCCACTATTCACTCGTTTAATTTGGTGCAAACGAAAATTCTACTCGTAATATCTTATCTCGCTCTTTTTTGGCGTCGCATTATAAAATATACTAGCGGCCTCGCAACGTTTGAGTAAGAAGCAGCGAGATAATGATAGAAAGATTTCCGTCCATGTGAGGTCTATCTTACAGAGTGCGTTGTCCATCTTGAATAAAGCTCAAACCAACTCCCTGGCATTTTGGGTTGGAATGCAAAAAAAAAATCTCCCGGTAAAGATGGATCTTCATAAATTACTTACCTATAATAAACCAATCCACCGGTGGATCCCGCAAACCATCACATAAAGTGAAATCCAGCGTTATCTGGGCGGAGTAGTTGCCAGGTTCCATTGCTAAGAACACCACCTCGTACATGCCGTTGTCGAGGTCCCAGACTTGCGGCGCAATTGATGCCGGGCCTTGTTTGATGTATACTCGCCATGCATCACCCCCAAAGCTTTTTATGTGGCCATTTTTCGTCACAGATTGAATAAAAAAACGACTGAATTGACCTTTTAAAAAATCAGGAGAGCGAAGTGATTACTGAGAACATTTTCGCCTCAAGCTAGCTTTTAAACTTTAGGGGATGAAATCGTTATCTAGCGGAAATACAT